CTGTGGGCAGAGATGAGATGGTTGGGGTGCTGGCGGATGAACCGGTCAACCCAGCTTTCTGAAACCGGCTTTCCAGCCAAATCTGAAGCAAAGCGTTGTATCATTTCCTTCGTAGGTGGCAAACGTCGTTCGGTAAGCGTATCGATGTATCGTACAAGCTCCTTCTCGTGTTGTGGATGGAGGGAGAGGTTGCGCACGCCATAGGCCTCAGTTTCGCCGCGGTGTCGTCTCATCAACGTCATTCGTGCTACACCATGCTTTTTCGCGATTGCTTGATACGAGAATTTATCTCCTAGTTCTTGCGATTCGATTTCTGCAATCGCTTCTTGAATCGGGTCCATATTAGTTGAGTTTTGACGCGTTGAAGTTTTGTTGTTGTGGTGGTGGGGGTGCTCAACTGGCGATGGTGCTCATCTGGTGCACGGGCACTGTAGAGCCTAACTAGCCCCACCACAAAGTGCGCGCGACCACAAAGTGCGCGCGCGCCTTACAACCACCTCAACCTCAACGCGTCGTATCCCCACCACCATGGCTAATATTGAGGCTGCGCTTGCAGCTATTAATGCCCTAGGACCTAATAAGCCTTTTTCGTATACAGATATTGCAAAAAAATATAGTGTTGTTTAATCTACGCTTACCTAAAGACACTAAGGCCTACACGCCTCACGCGCGATAGGTGGCCAAAAACGGCAGCTCCTCCACCCACAGCAGGAGCAGGCCCTAATCGCCTATATCAATCGACTAACAGATAGAGGCTTACCACCTACTTAGCCAATGATACGCAATTTTGCCTTATAGATCGCTAAGACTAAGGTTAGAGTACACTGGGCTAGTCGCTTCGTCTAGCGCTATCCTGATCAACTTACCTTAAGGTGGGCAAAAGGCCTTAATAACTATTGCTATAAAGCAGATTTAAGAAGCAAATACAACCTCTACTTTAGCCTCCTACGCGATAAAATTAATTAATATCACGTTAAGGCGCGTTATATCTACAATATAGATAAGAAGGGCTTTATGCTTAGTATCATAAGTTGTTTAAGGAGGATCTTTAGTAAGGCCTCGTACGAGGGCATAAGGAGGAGGACTACGATATAGGATAGCTCACGCTAGTGGATAACGCTGTTAGCCTGTATCTGCGCAGATGGATCTTGCCTTGAGCCTGCCCTTATATATCAATCAGCCTCAGGATCGATACAGGACACCTGGCTGCAGGCCCTTGATCCAGACATCCACTAAATTCGAATATCTTCATCACCTTCTGGATGGACGAACAATGAGATAGGCCTCGCGTGGCTGCAGCAGGTGTTTGATCGTAGTACGAAGGCGAAGGCTCAATCCTCCTATTGATTACTTGTCCTTGACGGCCATGGATCTCACGTTACAATGGATTTTATTAAGTATTGTGATAAGCATAAGATCCTCCTCGCAGTATATCCTCCTCACTCAACCCACACGCTGCAGCCTCTTGACGTTAGCATGTTTAAGCCTCTCTTAACAGCGTACTTAAACGAAGTTTCTGCCTTCATAGATAGGAGCTAAGGCCTTACTTTAATAAGTAAGAGGGATTTCTTACCCCTCTTCTAGGCTGCCTAGCAGGCCTCCTTTAAGGAAACAACGATCCTAAACGCCTTTAAGGCTATAGAGATCTCGCCTCTTAACCTAGAAGTTATCCTTTAGCGCTTTACTGTACCTAATCCTGCGACGGATAGTGACTCCTTAGCTCTTAGTGCCTCTAATTAGAGGAAGATGGAGCGTCTGCTGCGTTAGGTAGTCGCTAATTAGGGTGATAGGCAGGCTAAAAAGCTTAGCTAGGTCCTTCACTTGAGTTTGGTTCAAAATAGTCTCCTTAAGGATAAAGTAAGGAAGCTGAGAGAGGCTCTAGTTAATAAGAGAACACGTAGGAAACGAGGTAAGCCTCTACCCCTATAGGAGGCTGAGGAGTATTATGGTGGAGCTGTATTCTGGTCTCCAAGGAAGGTGAAGGAGGCGCGCGATCGCCTACAACTCTAGGAGGAGGAGGAGGAGCAACTGCAACTCCAAAAGGCCGATACGAGAAGACAGCGTGAGGAGACAAGGCAGGTTAGGGCGAGGGAGAAGGAGCAGAGGCGTCAGGCGAGGCTTGCAGTAAGTCTAATGAGGCAGAAGGAGAGGGAGGAGAAGGCTATTGAAAAGGCCTCAAGGATCGCGGCTCGCAAGGCTGCAAAACAACTTCAAAAAGCTATTAGAACTTCTCAAAGGGGTAGGAGAAGGAGCTTCATGGCTCCTGCAAAGGCTACTCAAAAAAAGAGCCTATCGCGAGGCCTCAAGGTGGTGAGGAGCCTCAGGGAGGTGCTGCAAGCTCACCACCTCCAACCTCGCGTCGCGGCCGCGCGATTAGAACTCCGTCTCGATTTCTATAGCTGTATATATATATTAAAGCCTAATTGATCTCACCACCAAAATATATCGTGATAATAT